CCACAGTTAGGAGGAAATGCCACCACCCAAAAACAAGCTTTTTCCTGGCTTCTGCTCCCTTCCCTCTTGCCCACCTCCACTCCCTGGCAAAGGACCCTCTTCCACTACTTCGCTTTGTCTTGCTTGGATACAGGGGTGAACTAAGATTGACTGGCAGGTCCTTAAAATTTGGATGTGCCTCCTGCATTTGGCACTAGGAATCCCCAAATGTATGTTAACAGCTGTTTGCTGATTACATGTGCTGGCGTGGAGGTGTCAGTGTAGTGGTAAGACTGAGTTTGGGAAGCCCAGGGTGCCACCTGGGACCACCAAGGAAGGGGCCATATCCTTGCAGGTGGTAGTGGTGCAGTTCTTTGCATTTGCGTTAGTTATTTACAAAAGTCAGCCAGTTGCTACCTGAGGCACCTGAGCCATTCGAGGAGTTTAACTGAGAGATGGTGGTGTCTCCCATTCCCCTTCAGTAGCTGGAACTCAGGAAAACCTCACCTGGATTTTGACAGCCAATCCTTTCCCTCCTCTGATGGACACAGCATCTCCGAAATACCTTCCAAGTCATACCCTCCCTGAAGGGACAGGGCCCAGACCCTGGCACGCAGCTTTGGTCCTTCACCCCAGCTCAGCCAGCTTTCAGGAACTCTAACCAGCCTGTCTTGCCAGCCAGCTTCTGAGCTACGTGAACTGACTTCTCTTCCTTCTCATCTCTATGAAATATTTACCTCTTTCCTTGATAGAAAACCATCCAGACTTGGACAAAATCACAATGGCAGATCCTAAAAACTAGGCCCTGGGGGGTTAGGCCTGAACTAGGCTACATACCACCACTCGTCACCGGCCACCTCCATCTAAGTCGCGATCACATTTCTGTCTTTAAGTCAACAAGATTGCCAGCCCTGAGCAGGCTCACAGGTAGTCCCACAAGTCAGAGTGGCCCCAGTCAAGCCACCCGCTGACCGCCCCCAGCTCTTACCAAACCAGCTTCCTCAGGCCCCTGTGGCCAGGCTCCCAGCTGCCTTTTGAGTCAGCGCCTGAAACATCCGGCCACACTTCTGATCTGCAGTGGAGTTTCAACTCTGAGCTCCACTCACCCAAGCAATTGGGGGTTTCAGAGTCTGGAGTCACTACAGAAAAGTGAAAATGGGCAAAAAGACACATCAGAATTCAATACTGGACTTTTTTCTTCAGACCTAATTTACCTTTAAATTAGGGTGATTTCTACTCAAGGCTAAGGGTTGTTTCTCAGCCTATAGCTGTAGTTTCAACCAGGGGCGGGGGTGGGGTGGGTGCGGGGCAGCTTTGCCCTCCAGAGGACATTTGGCAAAGTCTAGACATTTTTTGTTGTTGTGACTAAGGGGATGCTACTGGCATCTAGCAGGTAGAGGCTAGGTATGCTAAGCATCCTACAGTGCACAGGGTTGTCTCACAACAAAGTGCCCGGCCCCAAATGTCAACAACACAGAGGCTAAGAAAACTCTGTCTAGATTAGCTAAGCTGACCAGTTCCTCCTCTGAACCTCTGATGTAGGCCCCCAGTCCCCTCCTGGCCTCTTGCGGTGTCCTGTGGTGGCTCCCTTGCCCTCTCCAGTACTGAAAGTGTTTGCGATTCTGTCACCAAAAGTCTCTCCCCCTGGAGGGTATTACCATCTGATCCATGACTTCATGTCCTAACAGAGATGACTGTCACGTTGAATTTGGGGTCTTTACCTTTCTTCTAAACTTCAGACCCATCCTCCTCAATAGGCTGTAAAAGTCTCCATCCACTTGCCCATCCTTCCTTCGCCTCTGCTGTCTAAAACCAAGTCAGCTCCGCCATTTTGGCATCTCCCCCCCCACCCCCACCCCCAGCTCCTCCCTGACTTCCCTTCCCCACTCCTGTCCCATCATCCAGGTGCCAAACATTGGCCCCGCCACCCCTTGTGTCATTCTAGCAGGTCCTTTGGGATCTCTCAAGTCCCTTCCTTCAGCCTTGCTGCTTCCTCCACAAGTTGTGGGCCTCTCTCCTTTAAAGGTCATGACCAGACACAAGCCCCTGTGTCCTCTTCCTCCAGACCATCCTCCACATTGTCTCCGCCCTTCCTAAAACTAGCCTCAAATCCTCACTCGGACAAAAAAACATCAGCACTTCCATTTCCTACCAAAAGAGCCTCAAAATTGCTTGCTCTGGTGTCTCACGATATCCTGGAGGCCCATCGAACTTTCTCCAACTGCTCCTCCAAGACCCCACAGGTGGCTGCTCTCTCCACCCAGCCCTGCCCCTTGTTCCCAGCCATCTTTGTGACCGCCAGCCAACACCTCCCATCCCCCGCCGCCTATGCATACAGCAAGCCCTCTGTCCCTCCGGGGAGCTCGTCTGAAACGCCATGATCTCCAACAAGACTTTCAGGGTCCCCCCAGTTGAAGATCTTTTCTTTCCTGTCTGTGTTGTTTACCCTTTAGAATGGAGATCTGGCCCAATCTTTATCCCCTCAAAACATGTGCGCTCCTGCTAAAGAACCAAGGCACCAGGAAAAGCGGGGAACAAAGGGGTCCCGCGGGCCCATGAGCGCGTCGAACAAAGGGATCCTGTCCCCATTCCTTGGTGAACAGTGCTCGGGGCAAGAGCGAGGCCTGGGGAGCACAATCATCCTTTGGGGACCCCATCGCGCGGCCTCCCTGGCGCTCCAATCCCAGCATCTACTAACCTTGCTCTTCGGCAGAGCTCAGCATCCCTGTCGCCCCAACTCCTTATCCATCGGGGCTGCTCATGTGCACGGGGCGGGCAGCTCTCTCTGTCCTCGGGGTTCTGGCCCTCTACCGCCAGGCCCTGGAAATCTTCAGCCTCGCCCCCGCCCGTCCCGTGTTGGGTATGTTTGCCCACCGCTCTCAGTGAGCCTGAGGGTCGGCCCCTGTGAGCCCGACCTCCCCTGCCAGCCTGGTGAGTTGTGGAGTCGAGAAGAATGACCCACGATGCCGGCTGACCTCGTGGCGTCGCAGGCCTGACCGCCATACCAACCGCTTCCAAGCACCCCAGCAGCACAACCTCTTAGGGCGTTCCAACTCGGCGCCCCCTAAGGGACCTCCCACTCATATCCGGTTTCCGGTTCGAAGCCCCCTGCTCATTCGCCAGGCAGCCTTGATTGGCGTGACCCCAGCCCAATGGCTGACCTAGCGCTGGGGTCGAAGGGGAGCGAGTTGACTGTTGGGACCCAGTTGGCACATTGAGTGAGTGTTCAAGTGGTTGAGCTATTGTGCGTGGGTGTAGTTGGCCGAAGTTTGGACCAAAGTTCAGTGTTGGCATCTGGAAGTGTGTAGACCCCCTGAGCCGAGATGATACCTCTGTCGGGGGACCCAAACGTTACCCAGGGTTGGGCTCGGTCCGTGTTCCTCCGCGCAGCGCGGCCCCACCGGATGGCAGACGAGGGGGGCATTGCCGCGCTGTGGCCGGGGTCTTCTCGCTCTGAAAGGGGAGTGTTCGATGCAATGAGATTGGACTGTGAGTGGTTCGCCCGCCCGCGGTGCGTCGATACAGAGATCCAGGCAGCGCGCCTCCCTTGCCGCAGCGCACCCTGTGTTCCTCTCATCCCCCATTCCATCCGCTCCACATGTGATCCACATGTCCCCTGGCCACCTAAAGGTGACTCGCAAGCCCGTGTCACCCGCTGGCAACACAGACCTGCTGCCCGTGTCCCGGATTTTACGTGATCCGCCAGCAGCAATTTTTTTCACCCCGTGGTTCTGACTGTAGACCCCAGAGCCCGAGCAGTACACATGCGCGGAGCCCACCCAGGCGGTGTGCGTCTTTATCCCCTCCGGCTCTGAGCCCACCGCGCGCCGCCGAGACGGGAGCGCAGTCCACGGCCGCTGGGTTTATGACCAGGCTTATTGCCGCCTCTGCGGGCTCTAGCAGTTGGAAAATAAAGCGGCTACCTGCAGATACCCATAGCAAGAGGAGAGGGGTTGGAAAGGGGACGGGAGAGGGGCTGGAAGGGGGCTGGAGGGGAGCCAGGGGAGGGAGCTGTGATGCTGCGGCGGGCGCCCGAGGCAGGAAGTAGCACATCGCAGCCGCTGTTAGTCGGCACCGCGGGGCTCGGCTTGGCGCGGGTTGGCGCGGCGCGGCATGATGTGTGCCTTTGGGCTCAGTGCGCACAGGGTTGACCAGTCTCTGAAAGCACCCTAAATCAGCCATAAATCCCACCTGGAATCCCCTCTAACCCTTTCCCAGAACAGTAGGACCCCCGGAAGTCTGAGGCCTGCACTCTGTGGGGTCCCCATGCTCATCCCGCATCCCCGCCGCCGGCCCCCCTCCCACCCGTGCCGCCGCAGTTACTGCTTGCAGCGTTCGCCAACCTTTCGGACCTCACGGACCACCAGTGGTCTGCGGACCGCCGGTTGGAGACCGCTGCTCCGAAGGTTTCCTGAAACCAGCGGTCGCCAACCTTTTGGACCTCGCGGGCCACCAGTGGTCTGCGGACCACCGGTTGGGGCGACCGCTGGAGAGGGTCTCCGTGGTATGTACCCGAGACCCTCTTATTCCCTGAATCATTTGTCCACATAAACGCGGAACAACCCGGCCCGCGCGGCCCTCAGCGCCTGCGGAGACCCTCGGAGCGCGGTGGGGATGGGGGACATGTCGGTGATTTACATGAGCCAGCCTCGGCAAGTCGGCAAACGAAACCTGCAGCGGCGATGGAAAGTGCCCCAAGACATTTTCAAAACAAACGGTGTGCACAAACTCAGCATCCCCTCGCCCCTCGCCTCCTGTCCTCTCCATCGGTGGGCTCACGACCACCTGTCGCATCCTCGCGTGCGCACTCGCCCCCTTCCTAAAGCCTTGTGCGCCGGCTTTGGGGCCCAGGATGGAAGGCTGCTCAGAGCTGGGGGCTGCGACTCTTGGGCTCAGGAGTATTTTGGGGTTACGAAACCTTCATGCAGTTCCCCCCTCCCTCCAAGGAGCGTCAGCGGCGCCTGGGAGGGAGGCTTTCAGCTCCTGCGCTCCAGCATCCCGGGCCCACGTCTTGTGTCACGTGTCCCACAACGCAGGAGAGCTCTCTCTCTGGCCAGGGGAGCAGAGAGGAGATAGACTCCAAATCAGTCGGGAAGAGGAGTGGAAGAACCAAACCATCCCTGCGAGGCCTGCGCCCGTCGCCCCCTTACCCCAGGCCGGGGCTCCCGGCGACAGAAGCCGGCTCCTGCAGCCGCCCGGGCACCGGCCGGCGTCCTCTGGTGGTGGAGAGAGAGCACTACGTGCGACTTTCGGACCGAATCGACACGCTCCTCAGATCCAAACAGGCGGGGCTGGCCTGCAGAATGCAGAGAGACAGAGACAGAGGGTGAGGAGGGGGGCCAGGGTAGGTCAGGAGGGGGGCAGGGGCAGCCTGAGGACATGAAGAGAGGCCAGGAAGGAGCTAAGACTCCACCAGCAACAATAGAGTTGCTTCTACCACAGTCTAGGATATGAAGGCCTGAACCTCGGCACCAGCAGGGGTTGAGAAAGTGAGGTTGAAGAACTGTCTGGCTGGTCATTTGATTTTTTTTATTTTGAAAATATTTTTTTCACCCTAGTTTGGTTGGGTGCCCCGTCTTACGGGGCCCCAAATTTATTTTAAGGGGCCGCCACCGTGTTATGGGCATGCGCAACTGCCTCTACGGCAATAATATGTCAGGACAACGCGATATCCCCCTTGAGCCCGAGGAACAGCCCGAGCAACCATCTTTGGAGGCCTCAGGGGCAGCTGCCCCCAGTGCTGGGCCTCGCGCAGCCGAAGAAATGGAGGCCCAATCGCCTCCCAGGGAGCCCGTCCCCATCGAGACTGAAGGCGAGGCCTGTGGACCTCCAGAGGCCTCCAGACCCCACGTCCAGAGTGAGGCAGTCCAGGAAGCCGGAGCCCATGGAGGCTACAGCCCACCTCCAGAGGAAGCCATGCCCTTCGAGGTCAAGCAGCCCAGCGTGGGAGGCTTCTGGCCGGCCCTGGAGCAGCCTGGAGATGCCAGGGGGGCCCTTAGCCCAGGGCTCGTGCAGCCCAGAGCCCGCAGGGAGGCCAGACCAGACCTGGGCAGCTACAGCCCTCCGCCCGAAGAGGCCATGCCCTTCGAGAGCGAGCAGCCTGCCCAGGGAGCGTGCCGCCAGCCTCTCCTGCAGATCTGCGCGCTCGCGCCAGGAGGCCCGGCCGTGGGGGTCTTTAGCGCCCCCTCAGAGGAGCCCCAAGTCCTCAGACCTGCCTACGCAGGCTGCGGAGGAAACTGCAGCCCTCCCCCTGAGGAGGCGATGCCATTTGCGTTTGATGGAGCAGCCTTGGGGGACGACAGCCCACCCCCTGGGCTCCCCCGAGCTACCCTACAAATCCACGACGGTGGCGGCGGCCACTTCGCGGCAGTCGCGGAGCCGCGTGCGATCCTCCTCGCTCCCGCCGCGAACGAGCCCCCCCTCTGGGACCCAGGAGCCAGCGTCAGCACATCCGGAGAGGCTGTCAGAGCTCCTCCACACTTCGTGGGCGACAGCCCCCCGATGGAGGTCTCCGGACCCCAGCTCGAGATTGGTAGCGCCCCCGCTGGGGTCGACGACGCTCCCGTCAACATGGACAGCCCCCCAGTCGCGCCTGACAGCCCGCCCATCGAGGTCTCCGGAGCCCCAGTTAAGAGAGAGCGAGCAGAGGGAGAGAGACCCCCAGTTGAAGGCGAAGCAGCCGAGATGGAAGGAAGCTCAGCCGCTGCAGCCGCAGCCGCAGCCGCAGAGGGAGACAAACTCCCTTCTCCCGGAGACGGAGCCCGAGCCCGAGACCGAGACGGAGACGGAGACGGAGACGAGACGGAGACGGAGACCGAGCTCCTGTCGCCGGGGCC